CCCCCCCCCCCCCCCTCCTCAAATGCCATTCAAAGATTATTTACTGTATTTATTTCATCATTGCATTCCTTAAGAACTAAACCCATGATCATGATGTCACTAGTGCAAAGCATAAATACTCCACTTCCATTTATTTAGATTCAGCAACTCACTTTCTTAAAAATGGCTGGGTTAGGGAGGGGTGGTCCGAAGAAGGGGACGTCATCTCTCGCTGTTACTGAAACCTAGAGAATGACAAATACGTGTATCATTTACTGACTCACAGAGAAGTGTTACAGAAGCGCTAGATTGCAGTAATACTGTGATAATGTACCTTGTACAGTACGTTGTCAGAACAGGCATTTTCAACTTGCACCACTACATAGGCATGCAGGAAGTTGGAGGCAATCATGTCTGGCACAAATGGAGTATTCTCCTCTTGAAACAGGATGGCCACGATGTCATTTCCTATATGCCTCTTCCTTTGTAGCTGTGATAACAAAACAAGAGAGTTTACTTTTATAATCCTTCATTTAAAATCTCCTTATGTAACACTTGCACTTTCAACATGTACGCAAACTCAAATACCAAACAGCTGTTAAAGTGAGATTTCTTTGGCATAATTTAAAATGTATTAGCAGCTTTCAAGTCAAAGAATAATAAAAAAGTGGGTCCTGGCTGGACGCTGATTGGTCAAAACAGTGTTGCAGTCTACTAAAATACAAAATATAGTAAGGTATGATGCAAAACCCTTGTTCACATTAGTTTCATAAAAAGCCAACTATTAATGTGTAACTAACCTACATACAGTTAAAATATTTGGGGTCTATAAGAATATTTGAATGTTTTTGAAACAAGTCTCTTATGCTCACTAAGGCTGCATTTATTTGATAAAAAATACAAATAAATAAAAAAATATTTCATTTTAATATTTGAATATATGATTAAAATAAATATTTTCTATTTTAATGCATTTTAAAATGTAATTTATTCCTGTGATGGCAAAGCTGAATTTACAGCAGCCATTACTCCAGACTTCAGTGTCACATGATCCTTCAAAAATCATTCTAATACTTTTTCATGATTCTTTGATGAATAGAAAGCTCAAAAGAACAGCATTTATTTGAAATAGAAATCTTTTGCAACATTATAAATGTCTTTACTGTCACTTTTGGTCAATTTAATGTGTATCTGATGACTAAAAGTATTAATTTCATTAAAAAAAAAATCATACTGACCCCAAACTTTTGAACAGTAGTGTATACTTCTAAAGAATAATAGCACATAATAAATTAGCTTTAAAAAATACTGTTTTAATGAAAAGTTGCATCTTTAATATTTTTATTAAGCCATTTTATACAATCAATATGGTAATGAGCCATGTCCAAACATATACGAACCCAAAGTTGCGATGAGTGTCATTAAATGCTCTTCTGGCTGAGATCTGATGATAAATTCCATTCATTTTGGGATTTAATTTATACGTCAGTGATACCATGTGCTGAAGTTGTTTTTCACAACATGTCTCAACAGATGGCTGTCAAGGGCAAACACAGAGGTTGCTGCCGCTCATTTAAACATTGACATCAGTTCACCAACCCGATCTGCTGTCAACCTCCAATCACTGCAGTGTGTGCACATATGACAGTGAGAGAGAGAGAGAGGTGCACGCTTCATGTGCTCTAAATGTAGAAGATTCCCTGAGGAGTGAGCTCTAAAAAACACTCTTCCTCAGAGGGTGCAGCGCTGCCAGTGAAGGTGCAGAATAAAGGTCACTTTGTCAGTCAACAATCATCTGCCAGCACATCAGCAGTGTGTGGCTGCAGGAAACAGCATCTGCCCCAGTGCTAAGGAATGGATTTCTCCCCTCCTGTCAAACCAGATGGCTTATACCTATGTGGCTTGTTTTTTTATTTCGCATCAGATCAGTATCTACAAAGACGGATAATCAGGGACAACTGATTATATTTTGTTCCACTAAAGATTACCACAGTTGTATTGATTAAAGGATCTAGAAGCAGGGAAATGTGCTATGAGTAACCCTCTCATTGAACCCACAGCATTGATAGTAGGGATGCACCAAGGCTCCCATACTATATTTTTGGTATCGGATCGGTTCTGAAAAAATGGTATCGGTGCATCCCTAATTGCGAGTACCTGCTGTGTATCGCCCTCTGTGTAAGGCAGCTTAGTTGACACGTGGAACATGATCTCCTTGTTGTGGAAATTGTGGTACACAGATTCAGAGCCTGTCTGTCCATGTGTCACGTCCAATCCTCCACGAAACCTAGTAGAAAACAGAATATTCAAGTGTTTTGCAGTCAAACATGAAGGGCATTGTTAGCATTAAACTTCACAGAGACAATTAATCCAAGCTTTGTAGCAAATCTTTATGATATAGATATCTTTCTAAAGGTTACATACTGTAAGAACATTCAGGGAAAAAATAGCTAAATGTTTTAGCACAATGATATTTCACCACACTGTGTTTTATTATTCAGTAATAAATTATTCAGTCTCTCACTAAAATTAAGGAATAAATTATTGATTTAATTAAAAAAATGCAAAAGGATAAAAAGAAATATAAAGAAAACCTATTGGTTTTAAATGTCTATTTATTTGTCAATTTGAAAATTTGAAAAAATTATTAACATTAACTAAACAAACACATACAGTGGGTACGGAAAGTATTCAGACCCCCTTCAAATGGGGTGCTGTGTGTACATTAATGAGGAAAAAAAATTAACTTAAATGATTTTAGCAAATGGCTGCAATATAACAAAGAGTGAAAAATTTAAGGGGGTCTGAATACTTTCCGTACCCACTGTATTTATTTAAAATAAATACATTTAAAAGTTATTTATTTACATTTTTATTTAAGAAATGTAAAAAATGATATAAATAAATTAAATTCCTTTATTTTTAAGTGGCTCTCCTTGTTCTGTACGGTTTTATTTTATTATTATTTATATACAATTACATACTATTAGTATATTTTATTAGTATTTATTAATTTTTTAAGCTTTCATTTTATTTGTATATTAAGTTTTAGTAAATGTATGTGCTTTTGTCATGTTTATTAGTTTTAGTTTTTCTATAAATATTTCTCTTTACCTTTAATATTTCTATTTCAGTTTTAGTCTGAGTAATTTTAGTGCTTCAACATTTTATTTCGGTTACTTGCCAGGGCAATATTTAAAATGTATGTGTATGTTTTTTAAGTTTTCTATCTAATATTCATATTTCATGTTATTTTATTTCATCTTTATTTAAATAAACTGAATCTTTTTTAATAGTTTTAGTTAATAACAACACTGGTTTAGTCTAGTTTAATCAGATGATTTTAGAAGTTTTAAGCATAAATACATGCAATGTACATTTAAAAAATTTTTGTGTGATTTGAAGTTTCAAACAACACAGACAGTGTGTGAAAATAAACAGCACTATAAGAAAGTGTAGTTCATTCTTAATGAAATCTCTCCTCAGAAGTGCACAAATAAAAACTCCAACATCCAAAGCTTCTATTTTAATTAATTAATGCTGTGAAACATTTCATCCCTCGTTATTCCCAAACAACTCCTCCTCTGAGGTCTACACAGATAAAAACACATCAAATGCTTATAAGTTTCATACAAACATTTGTATGGTGCCCTTGGCAGTAGACACAGTAACCCATCAGGTACAATAGAAGGTCATCTCAACAAAGAAGCTTCATGCATTATCATTACTTCAATTACTGAATGAGATAAAGTAATTCAGCCTTTCAAAAATCACAAATCACAAAAACAAGAACACATAATGACGACACATTATGTTACAGCTCAAAGCCCGACATTAAACAAACCCCAAATGAAATGAACCCACACACACAAAAGCAAGAACATCTTGATGAAGACAAAAGCAAACTTTAAAATTAGCAAACATAAATGGCTCATCATGAGTCAATTAGCTTGATGAATATGCAAATTGTTCGCCTGAATAAACATAGTCTCCCATTTAGAGTCAAGGAGGGCAAGCGGAAGTTTTGAGGACTGATCCATAAGGTGCGTTATAAACATGAGCATGTCCCATTAAAGGCCTCAGTGTTCTTGCTGCCCACATTGGAAAGGTTGAGTGTGTAAACACACCAATCTGTGAGATGAAGAGGCTGTTCAAGCACATCTCGCAGCCTCCGCTGTCATGCTAATACGTTAAGGGCGTTTCTGGCAACTGTCCTCTCAGACACCTCTCACTCTCTGCCTACTCTCTGCAGCCTTAAAGGTCAAGGATCTGTCTTAATGCAATCAAAGCTCTCCTCTGGGAACAAAAGCCTCATGATTTTAATAAAAGACAAATGAAGACAATGGCTTGATTGTTGTCTAAGCAGAGGAGCCATTGTGAGGTCAAGAGGAGGAAGGACTACTTTGTTAGCTGTTTGATTCAAAAGATCGAAGGTGTTGTTCTAAATAAAGATGAATTATGATTGTGAGTTACAGCACCGATTCTGTAGACGCTAACAGAGATACGGCTTCCCATGCGACTCACCTGTCCAAACTTCTGATAAATGACTCCAAACTTGAAGTTGTTGCTTATGACATGTTCGTCAAAAGTGACGATGAGCCTGGAGGCCTGTGGGAGAGTAGATGTTTTCAATAGAATGATGAATGTCCTTTAAGGAATACTAGAACATGTGGGGTCCCCCGCACTTTTTTTCGGGCAAGTCACATAGAGGTTTTCAAAGGCTGGTGTGAATAAATCTAGATTTAAATTCAAAGAGAGAGGATAGTCTGTGCATGTTCTGATATTTTATTCAAATCCAGAATTAGGCGATATGAACATTATAGAGCGCTAAACACTCTCATGCAGTGTATGTTTCATCCATACTCAAAGCCGTAGGGTGCTCTCTCATAGTCCAAGACGGACTCATAGAAGTAATAACTTATGACGTGCCAGGAAATCCCTAATATGGAAAAAGACATCCAGCTATCGCTGTATAAGCTGAATAAAAAGCAGAAACGTTTTGACTGCTGAAATGTGAAGACATTAAACACATGAGTGCGACAATATATGGTCTATGTGTGTTTTTCAAGTTATCTCCAGGTAATAAATAAAGAATATGAATAATGCAGTGCTAATTGAAATAAAAATGTATCTGCCTTATTTAGTGATAAAAATGGAAAAAAGTGTTTTTAGTATATAAACAAATCACAAAATTGTCATTAGGAAAATATAAGAAAAATATGATATTGTCCAGCAGTGTATTTGATTTCTTAGCCAATTAAAAGTAAGAAATAAGAGAAAAATAAGCAAAAAATAAATAAATAAATAATAAAAAAAAGGTATTACATTTGACATTTCTCTCCCCCTCACTTCTGAAATGATGGCTACGCGCCTGGCTTTGTCAGCACTGCAAACCCTTGAGAGACACAGAACAATACTTTCGCAGAAACTAGCATATTTCCCAGTGCCACGCTTTAATTAACCAGGACAAATGATTCACAATTATGTGTTATTGAGTTAAGCGTATCACTTTGGCGCAGGTGGAGCATACAAAAAGACTGATTGAATTTGTGTTGTGTAGGGTTGCGTACCTTTGGGTAAAGCACAGGGAAAAATCGGTCCACGTTCACCTCTTCACAGACGAGCTGATAATAATGAAAAGAAAAAGCACTTATTGATTCGTTCCTCATTCACATTTGATCTCGCAAAAGTGATGCAACACTACGGTCGTCTGTCCAGGCAGGACAGAACAGGCTCATGGGAGAGTGAGACAATCAGCCATGTTACTCGGAGAGAAGTGTGATAAATTGGAGGGCCTGAAAACAATAGTGCTGACCCCATTCACCCCCTCCTCACATGATTTACTCTCACCTTGGCCATCTGGACAATGTTGGGGAATTCGGTCAGACAAGATATTGGAATCACGTCGTGATATGTTTTCATTTTAGTTCTGTCAAAAAAGGAAAGACATTAGTAGACATAAGATTGAAGCTAAATACTGCTGCAAAAAGTATATAATCAAGGTGTGTGTGTGTGTGTGTGTGTATGTATTATATATATATATATATATACACACATATACATATACATATATATACAGTAGGTAGTCAACTAAAATGCCTATTAAAGCCGCGTGTACTGCCGCTGCAAGGCCACAGCGTTAAATATAACCCAGTCACATATGAAACTTGCTCACAAACTCACCACGAGGTGGAGCAAAGGGATGGTTGACAGCATTGCTCAATAAAGCTGGAATTGTGACATTTTCACTTGTAAACAGATAAAAAATAATGAAATAAAACTGTGGTGATATTACAATAATAGGTTAGTAAACCATTATAACATTTAATCTCAAATTATTCATCATATAAATGTGTAATATTCCAGCTATTTGGCCACTCATTCTATGAAATATTACAGTGACGGCAGTGCTTGAAGTGTGCTTACTTTTTACTGTACAGTATCAGCCAGTATTAACTTTGAATGTTTAGATTACATTTAAAGAGGTGTGCATCATGCCAAGGTGGATTATTGTTAATATAGGAAGATTATGAGTGATAGAGGCTTAGTTCTAGCATATATTTTGACACCATGAAAGGTATGAAACTTACTTTTAATAATTCGCTGATGCATTTCAGCAGGTCACGCATAGTACTTATTCATTATCTGTCCTTTTTTGACACATCTATTGCCGTACAGTACAGAGCCCTGCTCATGCATGTCAAAAATTATAATGTCCACGAATTAAGAAATTGTTGATCACTTTTTAAAATTTGTTCCTTTGTATTAATTAAAACGTGTTTAAATAATAATTAAACCATGTTTTAAATAATAATAATATGCATAATACATACCTTTTACTCATTTATTAGTTGACTTTTTTTTATCCTATTCACTTTAAACCACAGGAATGAATTAATAAAATAAAATTCTTGATATAGTTGATATATTTTTTCCCCGCATATCTGTGAATTGGCTTACACATTTTCAATTCTGCATCGGAAGTTAAATGCATTAATTATTGCAGGTTTTCATATAGAGTCATATTCCCTGTGTGATTTGATGTAAAATAGGAATACAAAATATGATTTGAAGGCTATGTCATTTATGTGTTTCATACAGATTGGGGGAATCTGTCCAAAATGTAAAAAAAATAAAACATGAATTAGACAACACAATTCAACTTAAGAATTTTTTCATTTAATGAGATATGTATTAGGCCTACATATCCATTTACATGTTAGCCTTTTGTGAAAATTATTTTGCAGATCAGCCGAAATCATCTGTGACTTTTAAAAAGTTGTAGTTATTATTACAGCGAAAAGTTTTTATTATTATATTAATAATTTTTATGTGAGGTTGAAAAGTAAACGGTGCTATTATCAAAAGTCAGTTCTGCTGTATTCCACATCAAAAAGCAGCGCAATCATATGGCAGTCGTGTTCATTATGAATAAAAAGTATATAAGATTAGCGTTTAAACACGGCTTCTATGGACTATAATAAACACACAAAAATTATCTGCATGATGCCACTGCATGATGTGAGATGAATGAAGAGCGCGTTTCTCTTGCGTGCGCAAACACGCTACTGTAAAAGGGAAATTCTGGATTTGTCTAGATTATTTTTTTTAAATTAAGAAATATACAAAATATACAAATTGATAAAAAGAGATTTGTGTGTACTCTGCAGTTCTAAAACACACTGGTTTAAACGTTATGCTACACTCTTTTTTTCCTTTTGGATAGAGCATGTCTATTTTACACTGAGCAACAAATATTAGGCTATCCAGCAGTGTGACTGCATTCAGTCCAGTCGGAGGGTGTTGGGGTCTGGGGCAGTTCAGTAGCTTCATCGTGGTGGTTGAAATAGAAAAGTGTGAATCGCCGCTCTTTCATACGGAGAGTGTCTGATGGCTGATCAGTGTTTCAAACTTCCAGAGCAGGTTTAGCCAAAGTGTCTGTTTCAGGATAAATGCCTCGGTAACACTTTAGTACAGGGACCAATTCTCACTATTTACTAGTTGCTTATTAGCATGCCTATTATTAACATATTGGCTGTTTTTTAGTATAAAGCACACATTCTGCATGACCATATTCTATATCCCTAATCCTATCCAATACCTAAACTTAACAACCACCTTACCAAATTAGTAATTAAGCTACCTTACTAACTATTAATAAGCAGCAAATTAGGAGTTTATTGAGGCAAAAGTCATAGTTCATGGTTTGGTAATATATGTTTATTATTTAACAGTTGGTGGTGGAGAGGGGGGGGGCATTTTTTTGACATTTTTTTCAAAAATATATAATTATCTCACCTAAATCTTTGATAATGCAGTGCATTTTTTTTTTTTTACAATGGGGCAATTGTTGCACAATAGCTTACACTCAGCACAATCCTGATTTCGTGAGCTGTATGTGAGGCGGCCTTATGTATGTGCACTTTGAGTGTGCATGAGCGCACCGTCTCTAGGTGAGCGCGCGAGTGATGAATGGTTTAAACACTGGCAAGACTTAAAAGGAAATGCAAATTATAAACTTTAGTGACGATGTGACACTGCCTCGATTGTGCAAGTGACAATTCCTGTCAACGGTGCAGCTCGCTTATAGAGCAGACGCGATGTGGTGATTTGAAGCCATTTGCGCATTTAGAGAGGGAAAGAGAGAGCGTACGGTGATTCACTCACGCTGTTTGTGAAATCACGTCTCACAGAAAGTTTTCAAATTTCTTTGTAAGTTATTTAATAAAGAAATATGAATTGTACATCACCTTCAGCATTATAATTATTTTACCCGCGCCAGACAGATATTGAGACGGTGCCGCTGCATGTCATGCTAAACCTCTCACAGCAGGTGCATCGTCAGCTTGAGATCGGTTTATGAGATCGGCCTTTATAAAGACCGCCGATCAAACTTCCCAAAGCTTAGTTTTGCTTTGCTTCAGTAATGCATCGAAAAATATACAAATCCTCATCCCTGGCGGCTCAAAAACAGCAACAACAAAAAACGTTTGTAGTGGAATTTAAGCACAACACGGCCCAGACCTACAACAGTAACACTTATTAACAGTCTTTAGTTCAGTGTCATTGTGGCATCATTAAATGTGTCACATGGATTTGATAACAGGAACATCCTGCTGTCTTCCCTCCACCCACTCACATTGCCCTATATTGTCCATCTGGTGCCTAATGCGGAAATGAGGGTGGTGTGTACATTTGGCCTGTTTAATCTGTGAGAAAAGTGGTTTTATTGTGGGTCCCAGGAAACATTCACAGTTGTTGTCAAGGAATAGATATCAGTGCGCTCCGTTTAATGTCCACAATAAAAGCCAAAGCTCAAAAAAAAGTAATGAAATTGTGCCAGACACTAAGCCCTTCATTAGCCGCCCTCATCTACATGATAGAGACGTTTGGCAGGACACGAGGCCAGGAGACAAGTAAGTGATTTCGAGAAAAGTAAATAAGACATGACAGCGGGAGAAGCAATCTAGAATGGATGGGGAACAAAAAGCAGTATTAGAAGAGAGAAGGTCACACCTGAGCATGAGGCGGAGATGCTCTTGGTCCCCAATAACATCATATTTCATGGAGAACACCAGGTGGCCCAGGGCACTGTCCACTGTATAGTAATTAAAGTGTTCCTAATGAAGGAGCAGAAGGCGAAGCTGTGAGTGCACATTCATCTTCACACTTTCAGGTTTTCAGTACCAACACTCCCCCACAGATCTAAGGGCTAACTGACCACTTCTTTATTCACATTAGTCTAATTTATAATGGATATTAGATGTGAATAAATTAAGCCCATTGAAGCTAAAGCCTAATAAATCTTCATTATGTTTGGCTGCTGCAGTGTCACATTGGCCTATGTAATTAGGTTACATTTGTTAACAATCACATTATTGAAACTTATTCAAATGTATGGGCTGAAGGTGATTTCATTCTGAATGTTCAGCTTTTTTTTATGCATTTTCGACTTCATTTGTGGGGGCTCATGTTCTATATTTAGACTTCTGAAGACATATCGTTCACTGATAATGTTTACCGCTAGTGGACTGTTGTGGGCAAAACGCTGAGTCATTAAGTTGAATTTGAGAACCCAAACAGTCCGGTTTGTGAATGAATCATTCAGACCAGTTTTGTGAACTGGATTAATGGATTGACTGAAAAGTTCTGACTCAAAAGAATAGCTTGTTCATGAATTTGAGATTTCTACTTTTTAAACTTACAAGAATGTGTCAAGGAGTGCTAAAGCAGATGTACAGTTAATAATGACTTACATTTTGGGCTGTTCTTCTCAGAAAGCTATTGACTTTAAAAGACATTATGGCTTTTTACACTGCACGTAACTCCGGGTTATCGTCGTTCTAAACCCTGCTGTGAAACGTGAAACAAGATAATCCTGGATTCCTTTTACCCAGGGTTAACTATTTCAAATGTGGAAAGCCCTTAATAATGCATACATTTAGTGCACAAAACATATAGTGCATTGAGCGATACAGTCCATGAGTAGTATGGACCACTTTTATGACAATTTTACTTAGAGTTTTTTTTTGCCTTTTTTTGTCAATAAATTCACATTTTGTGTTTCACAGAAGAAAGAAAGTCATACAGGTTTGGAACGACATGGTGAGAAAATGATGACACAATCATTTTTGGGTGAGCTATTACTTTAAGCAAATCCTTACTTTGCCCAGAAAATGCTTCCTGTAGATCTTAGCGGTGGTGTTACACTCCAGTTTGAAGCGTGAATTGGGAGACAGAAGCTGGTCCAGATCGGTTCCATTGCTCAGCTCATGACTGGTCCCTTCAATCCAATAACCTCCAAACTGGGGCAGCAGAATTAAGGGAAATGGACTCTTTCTGCCAAGAACCTGACAGAGACAACGAATAAAAACAATTATGGTGGCGGTCAGTTGTGCAAGCGCACAATAAATTCCTCTGAGATATCGAGAGCAAAAATTTTTCTGTCAGCTCTTTTTTTCTGAACTGGTGTACCTCATGGACGCTGGGGTAAGGGATGTAGTCTTCCTCGGTCTGTAAGGAGATGACATTCAAAACATTAAAAATGCAGTAGACTTATTTGGTTGCAACAGACCCTTTTAAACTCCAATGACCCAAGGAGCAAAAAACACTGCTTGCTCATCTGCTGGTTTATTTAAGAGAACTAACCCACTATCTGTACTCAGTGTGATCAGTTGGATTCTATACAGGCAGTATGGCTTTAGGCCAGAGAATATTGCTCAGCACCAGTTTATCTTATTTGATTACAGTTCCATTAGTGCAAGTGAAAGTGGGCTAGGGATGCCTTTGAAAAGTAGACGCACCAGCTTGACTGATAACTAGCTCTTCTATTTGAAGCTGTCTACCTGCAGATAAAAACAGCAGCCTGTGGCCCTCAGACAATACGTGTTTTGTATTTTTGTGAGCGTGCATGTGTACAGGGACAAAAGAGAGTCGGTGAGGTGAACATACTTTGAGAGGAGGAGGAAGAGTGCATCGTTGCTCGTCCATTCTGTTGCTCTGGAAGATAAAAAGAGAGAATCTGTCAGCCCAAATGTGCAAAAACAACACTTAGGTTAGATCTACTAAGGAAGAGGAATTATATGATTATATTTTCATGCCTTTAAAAAAAAACTTCATGAAACGCATATGCAAGAAAATCTAATTTTTATAAACGACAGGAATTCTGGAAATTTCTTTAAAATTATATATCTTGAGAAAGACACATGATGGATAAATATTAGAAATTCACTTTTACACATTATATTTGGTCTTATTCACTAAGCACCGATAATTCAGAGGCTACCGTAAATGTTCAAAAACAGTGCTGGACAGTGTTTAAATTAATACAATAATAAAAAAATGTTTTATTGCAAGTATTCTTCATTTCTATAAAAATGAGGATTATATTGCCCACAGTGAGCAAATCAACTCAATCTTAGCAAATATAAAAATATACTAATTAATGTCATTATTTTTTTAAAGAGGGTGTATTCTAAAAAAAAAAAAAACAATGAATTTTAAGAAATTATTTCACATTAAAAGTAAGATTTACAACAAAATATTAAGTAATTCATAAAAAAGGTCAGTGCAAGGAAAACAGACAATAGCCAGGGGGAAAAAAGTTAAACAGCATAATGGGACATTCATAAAATGATAATGAAAGACCACAACATTTTATTAAAAGAAAGTTCACATGCATTTAAACAATATTAGAAAAGAGCACATTCTTTTAGGGAGACAAGCTGAAAGAGAGAAAAAGCCTTCAGATCTGTCTTAGACAATGAACTCTTTTTTATTCTCTTTAATCAGGTTTTAAGAATATGGCAGACAGTGGAACACACACAAGATCAAAGCGTGATTGTGAGTGTGCAGGGAGAAGACGTTCAAATATTTACAAGCTTATTTAGTTATTATACAAAATATAACATCTTAAAGTTGCAAATATAAAACCATTTGTCCACTTATTTAACTTATAGTGCTGAACATTAAAAAAAGAAACAATCTCAGTGACTCAAAAGAGTGAAGCCCTATACAGTTCAGATATGAATATGAAAATACTGTATGAGCTAGTCTCATCAGATTCTACAGTACTGATAGCTGCTGTAGATTCGAAATGCTGCACTGAGATGCTTTGGGGATTGAATGTTATGATCTATCTGATGATGGATTCCACCAAAGGATCTTTATGGCAGACCAACTGAGATATACATACCAACACGTTTGTTATTTAAAACATCATGTACATCTAGCTAAGCTTCTCATTTACTCTATAATGTCCTCCAGCTGCAACCCAACTTTAAATCAGATCCAATTTCAATGTCATGCTGTTCTCTGAAGCATTATGGTGCATTTAGTGCACTTATTATAGTTTCTGCATAGACATCTGTCCATCCTAAGTTAGAGATAACAGCAGTAATATCAAATGACTAAGATCAATATGTCTCTGTGTACCCGACAACAGGATCTTCTTGTATTTCAGCACCAGAGACACCAGAAGAATTTGTTCCCTTCATAGTTCAATCGTGTTCTTGTTGTAAATTTGGCAACTGCATGACTATGATAATCAGGGCACAACAATAAATATGCACATATATGTACAACTGTAGTTATTCTTGTAAACAAAATTTGACTTGTGTCAGAAAAATTTTTATATTTTACATTTAACACTACATTTTATTTAAAATAAATAAATCCAAATTACAAATGAAGACAATATAAATTAGGTTTAATTTACAATAACTGCAAAAAAAAAGAAAGAAAAGAAACTACAATGTAACCAGATAGACATAGTTAAAAAAAAATGTTTTCATATTCATATAAACAATGAATTCTATAAACTGTTTGCAACAACATTCTACATCACAAAACAACAATTTAAGGGGGTCTGAATACTTTCCGTACCCACTGTATGTACATGAATGTAAGATACATTATAGTGTCAGTGCAGCACTTGTTTGGTAAGTGACTGACCCTGGGGTCATTCTTGTAGTTTATAGTGAATATATGTCCTCATTATTTACAGTGATGACTTTCGGCTACAACAAAAAACATGCAAGTGCAACTATGTAGCCAGTTAGGACAGCTGATTCAGGGGTTAATGGAAAATATCTAGATTAAAGATGAAAGGCAGAGGGAAGGAAAAAGGAGAAAAGTAAAAGAAACACATTACCTGCATTTTCTCAATCATTTCAAATAAATCAGTTGTCTGGAAGAAAGGAGAGGAGATGAGATGAAATGAGGTGAGATGAGTTTAGAGTTGACCCGATTACATTCCCATGATATGAGAGGGGTATGGCCAACAACACAGACGACACGCTGCAGTGCAGCATACATCTAACTGCAGCTAACTACTGAATATATCCCATCTATCACTCAGACTTCATCAGGAATCAGGCCTTTAAAGTATTCAGACTGCATCCATTCTGTTACTTACAGCACACTGCATTTTATTAACCAACTTACAGCAAATTTACCCTGCAAAGGTAGCACAGAAGCGCTTCTGAAGTGGCAATAGGTGTCTTTACACAGACTGCTACTTTAATGTTTCTCACAAATGGCACAGAGCAGCCTTAACTCAGCTAACTTCAGCAAAAACTTTAAAATTGTATTACAATTTACAACTGTTAACATTATGCCAAATTTACACTGCAAAGGTGGCACAGTAGCGCTTCTGAACTGGCATTTAGACGTCTTCCCACAATTTAATGCTGCTCAGAAGTGGCATAAATGCATTTACACTGCAATTACAACTGTATACTATAAATCAGCACAACCTTTTTTAGGGGCATAATAGTGTTTTTGGATTCAGCCATGAGTTAATAATGCCAAATACACTCAATACTGGCTGGTGGCAATGTTAGTTTTGGCCCTACATTGAGGATTCGGTGGACCTGGCATTTCCTCTCTAGCCCGATGGCAGCATGTCATTTTTAAAGGATGGAGAAAAAGCATAGAGATACATAACTCAATCAATGGCACTCATATTTGGATAAAATGCTTGTAGCTGACTGTCTTTGTAGCGATCAAGTTGGTTACAATGGGCTAAAGTTGTGGAAGTCAGGAAAGTCATGGCCTAATGGTTAGAGAGTCGGACTCGTAACCCAAAGGTTGCGGGTTCGAGTCTCGTACCGGCAGGGATTGTAGGTGGGGGGAGTGAATGTACAGCGCTCTCTTCCACCTTCAATACCACGACTGAGGTGCCCTTGAGCAAGGCACCGAACCCACAACTGCTCCCCGGGCGCCGCGGCAAAAATGGCTGCCCACTGCTCCGGATGTGTGTTCACGGTGTGTGTGTGTTCATTGCTGTGTGTGTGCACTTTGGATGGGTTAAATGCAGAGCACTAATTCCAAGTATGGGTCACCATACTTGGCCACATGTCACTTCACTTAAAATTATAATTGTAATAATTGGCTGCTGAAGTACTTTGCAATCATTTCCCATGCATTCCCATGCATTCATATGCCAATTAGAAATATGACACAGCGTTCACAACATGAGGCAATTTTTTAAAACTCTGAGGATCAAGTGTAATATTTAACTAAATCTCAAATACATTTGTTTTGTTTCTTAAATCTTCTCACTATTCATTTGATTTATTCCCACACACCCAAAAGACAACGTGAACGAGAGTGGAAACAATTATCTTCGATGTGTGAAGAATGAAGACTGGATGAATTTCTCAGTCTTGAACAAATACTTTGTGTACTGTAGCACATTGTTTAAACACATTGTGTGAGTCCTGCACCATCGACAAACAATCCTTATACTGCTGCCACGAAAACAAACTTCAGGGAAACTGAATCACATCAGATAAAAAACACTGACACGAGGTCAGACAAGTCAGTCCTGTAACACAAACACATTACCAAGAGCCTCTTCAGCCAAATGACTTACCAAAACACCAGATCGTAAAGTAATTTAATGATACTATTCAACTCTGAACCATATGCACTTTATGGTTCAAAGTAAGAATATCCTCCCTAAACAAACATACACAGATGAACACCTATTGGATTACAGAAATACTGTAAATATAATGAAAATATGAAATACAGAAAAATATGACAGTAACCTGTACTGCAAAAAAAAAAAAAAAAAATTGCAAGGACCATTTTGAAGGCAATTCGAGTCTCGTACCGGCAGGGATTGTAGGTGGGGGGAGTGAATGTACAGCGCTCTCTTCCACCTTCAATACCACGACTGAGGTGCCCTTGAGCAAGGCACCGAACCCACAACTGCTCCCCGGGCGCCGCGGCAAAAATGGCTGCCCACTGCTCCGGATGTGTGTTCACGGTGTGTGTGTGTTCATTGCTGTGTGTGTGCACTTTGGATGGGTTAAATGCAGAGCACTAATTCCAAGTATGGGTCACCATACTTGGCCACATGTCACTTCACTTAAAATTATAATTGTAATAATTGGCTGCTGAAGTACTTTGCAATCATTTCCCATGCATTCCCATGCATTCATATGCCAATTAGAAATATGACACAGCGTTCACAACATGAGGCAATTTTTTAAAACTCTGAGGATCAAGTGTAATATTTAACTAAATCTCAAATACATTTGTTTTGTTTCTTAAATCTTCTCACTATTCATTTGATTTATTCCCACACACCCAAAAGACAACGTGAACGAGAGTGGAAACAATTATCTTCGATGTGTGAAGAATGAAGACTGGATGAATTTCTCAGTCTTGAACAAATACTTTGTGTACTGTAGCACATTGTTTAAACACATTGTGTGAGTCCTGCACCATCGACAAACAATCCTTATACTGCTGCCACGAAAACAAACTTCAGGGAAACTGAATCACATCAGATAAAAAACACTGACACGAGGTCAGACAAGTCAGTCCTGTAACACAAACACATTACCAAGAGCCTCTTCAGCCAAATGACTTACCAAAACACCAGATCGTAAAGTAATTTAATGATACTATTCAACTCTGAACCATATGCACTTTATGGTTCAAAGTAAGAATATCCTCCCTAAACAAACATACACAGATGAACACCTATTGGATTACAGAAATACTGTAAATATAATGAAAATATGAAATACAGAAAAATATGACAGTAACCTGTACTGCAAAAAAAAAAAAAAAAAATTGCAAGGACCATTTTGAAGGCAAAATCATTTGATCTTGAGATAAAACTAAAGGTAATTGAACATGACGGACTGTGATTAGCTTGAAAAGATTAATCTGCAGCAACATGATAGTGCATGTCAGTCTGCACTGAGAGCAGCTCTGTCAGTGATGGGAGAAAATCCATATTCTCTTTTCTTGCTTGCATTCAAAAATTGCTGTGCAAGGAAAAGGAAAGCCTTTGATATTTCGCTGTAAGAACATGACAATGTATCAGGTAAGCATGAAATATATTCTGAGATGACAGAACTTATACCCTGCTCTCTTCACACTCATGATATTCTTTTATTATAAGCAGATTTTTTTATTATTAATTGCTGTTGGTTTTAGCAATGTTTTGCTGCACAGAATTAACTATTAAAAAATCTATTTTTTTCTGATGTGTACTCAAATCAAATTCTGCTAAAAAATCAGATATTTAATGCTCCCAGCATTTATCCAATATTTTTGTTCAGACTGCAGATTTCACATACTTACTGCATCAGGTCTTTTCCAGTGAGAAACTGTCACTTGCTGTGGGTTGAGCTGTGCATTTAGACTTTTAGCCATTTTGAAAAAAGTAAAACCAAAACTTCAAAAGTCACAAAGCAAAATATTGTCTGAAGGCTGCAAATCTACAAAGTCCTCCAAAATCCCTGGAAACATCCAGCCCCGAGTGCTGCAGCAGGTTCCATGTCAATAAAAAGTGAGAAACTCCAGCAGGGCAGCACTAGACTGCTTGCTGTGTGTGCTCTGGGAGGTGCGTGCATGTCTGTAACATGAAGTCTAATTGTGTATTTAAGCATTAAGATCCTTTGCTCTGGAGTCTTTCCTTTCTCAGGGAACAGAGTGAATTGTGGAGGAGATGTTGCATTCCTGCAGAATTAACTTTCTCTCCATCTTGCACTTTTTCTTTCTTTCACTGGCAGAAGTTCAGTATAAAACGGAGCTGATCTGAGCCTGGATCTGCTCTCTTTCAGTCAGACAAGCCTGAGCAGAATCTTACTTACTCATCAACACTGTTCCAAAACCTAGTGCAACATCGTAATCAGGGTTTGAAATTAACACCCGCCAATGTGTTTGGTGAAAACCAGTTATTAACATGAAAATGGTACAATTCATGTTAATAACTGATTCATGTAGAATAGGGTACAATGGGGCTAAAGGCCCATCTTAAGAAAAAATGTGCTATTCACTGCGCCTAACGTATAATTGCAGAAAAAATATATACGTTGTATTGAACATTAATGGAGCAACAGATTTTGTGTGAAAATAAATCATTCAAGTTGTTTATTTTGTTTAAAAATCTTATAAATGTATGAGGTGGCAAGAGGGGCCTTTTACCCCACACACGGGGTAAAAGGCTCACAAGCATGGGGTAAAAGGCACATGGTATTGATACAAATACTTCAGCTAAAATAATGTTTTTAAAATAATGTCTAAGTTAATACTTGTTCAAAAAAATCACTTTAGCAAAGTTAGTACTATTTTCTGCTTATTTTGAAAAATAAAACCCAACAGCCTTTTACCCCAAATACCATACTTTTACATATTCTTTCGTTATTTAAAAACTGTTGCTTTAATTATCTTAAACAAAACTGAAAATCATAAAGAAGACCTTTGTCTCGAAATATATGCATTCATTTTAGCGATTCTCATTTGATACTTAAATCTACAACATTTTAAAAAGCATAAAATATTAGATCAAGTAAGCACAGAATTGCGATCGCGTCAAAGATCAGACAAATATACACCTGCATCTTGAAAAGCAAATGTTTTGGAAAGTGCTACGCCACGTTTTTGTGCCATCTAGTGGTTTAGATGAAAATAATATCAAAGGCGCCTTTAGCCCCGTTGTACCCTATAACAGGGCTGGAACAGGGTCTGGGATTGTTTTGCACACAATTTTAAACATTCATGAACTTCGCCACACACACATCTTAACCACATCATGTGGATAAAACTACACCCAGTTTTATGATTTTTTTATGAAAAACTAAACAATTACACCTGCAACATTTGCATTCCCTGTGCTGAAAATGAGCCTTAAATGTTAAATAATTAGCCTAATTAAGGATA